TAGCACGGCAGCTACGTTGTATGCGTGTTGCATAATTACCGAATTGAAGGCGGACCGAAGTCATGGTTTATACGGCTACCTCTCGTCGTGACCCGCCGACTTAATGGCCGCTAGCGATAGATTCACTTAATGGGAATGTGACAAACTTCGAAAGAGCGAAACGAACAAAGAAGGAACATCCTCCTTTTACCACTGTACACGGAACCCAAAATGGCCTCCATCAAGTGGGCTAGTTCCTAAGTTTTATCGTTCTTTTGAGAATCCTCCAAGCTTTAGTTACGTTTCTCAAAAATGTTTTTCATTCGTTAGTGCCAGATAGCACTGTTTAGCTCGTCGAAAACAAGTCTGCTTTCAAGGAGTAGTTCATCTCTAGAGATATTTCATAATGTATAGGCTGTGACTTTATTATGTACGCGATTTGATTCAAATTTGAAGGTACATGCCCAGTTTATTTTGAAATTTCTCGATGCAGAAAATACTAATTTCTTTTTTATGTTTTGAATTTGATGTGGCTGCGGTGTTTCATGTGAAGAAAATCGATGCATTATAGCGCTTTAACTTGTGCTTTTCTTTTGTCATCCATTCAGATAAAAAGGAAAAACTTCCTCAATTTAGAAAATATAAAATAGATGCGAATGTTGAATTGTACAATATTTTAACGGTTCCCTAACAAAATTTTGACAGTAAAATTGCGTATAGCATCATAGATATATCAATGGAGCAGAGTAAGGCCTTAGTCTCCTTGGGGAGGTTTCTTCCCAACAAAAACTTTGACTCGAAAGTAATCGCGTCGCATTTCTTTTATGTAAAAAGCAAACACACCCATTCGAGGAGATTGAACCAATTTAACCCTTGTCGTACGTGCTTTTGGCCTTTCCAATAAATAAAACCAATGCGTGTGTGTATAATATATCGACACGGTCGAGCGAGCCAAACTTCGGAGCGCCAGATGATTTGAAGAGGAGCCAATTTCCGTGGAATAGATGAGATTATAATCAGACTGTCTCTCTTTTTTATTCGCTTCTCCGTCGCTTGTATTATAAATTTAATCCTGGAATATTTTAAAATGTAGAGAAAATATTGACAAATTTTTTTTTTTTTCAAGTGGTATCGAAGCAATTCTGCCACGTCCGAAATGCACGAGCTGGGCTTATGAAACAGGCACAAAGACTTTATTTTACCTGCCGGTTCAATTCGAATTTCTTTGAAAATATCAAGGTCTGATTCCAAAGGCAACAATGTCATCGCTGATCGTCCTCTGGTTTATTCGGACGATTTATTCGGTTGATACTCGGCATAAAATACGCGAAGGATTTGAAATGTAGCAGTTAACAGGTTGACACGGCTTATTCGGCAGATGAATAAGGTTCAAACCTAAGAATACAACTATATCAACTTGGGTGTGTTGCACAGTATCACACGCATTTGAAGGCGTTTTAAGTTGGTCCGACCTATGGAGAGTAGTCCTGATGCGTTGACTGTAAGTGCTGTTTGCACTGCATACGTCGAATACAAAATGATGAGTAATTTTCATTTATCAGTGTCACGAAGAACCTAAAATGACTTTTGGAGTTAAAATAAAGTATTCAATCTTATTTTAACGTTGAAAGTCTAAATTTTTATGCTGAGAAGTTCCTTTTTCGTGTCAAGGAAAGTTCCCTTCCAAAAATACCCCTTGATTGTTTCACAAATTTCCAAACCGGCACAAAGACTTTAATTTAGCCGCCAGTTCCATTCGAATTTCTTCGAAAATCTCATGGTCTGATTTTAAAGGCAACAGTCAACAATTCCATCGATGATCGTCCTCCCGAGACGATTTATTCTTACCAGAGGAGTCCTCTCCGTACACAAACTGGAGGCATCAAAGAGGCTCATCGAAGCCATCTTTCACTATTGCTTTTAAAAATCTAACTTGAGATTTTCAAGGAAATTCGGGTAGAACTAGCAGATGAACTAAAGACTTTGTGCCTTTGACTTCATGGATATGTGACTTTGAGTCCACTTTCCTTTTGTCTACTACCTTGTATATCAATATTAATAATCAGCCCGGCGAACGGTTTCAGAGCTTAATTTTTTAAAACAACCCATAATGCATTACAAAACGTAAGCAAATTCTTGTTTACTGTGTTAGAAAAATATAATGGGGATTCATCATTGTTGGCGCCGCAGGGCGCGCAGTTCTCTTTTTAAGTATCGTCCACTGCTTTTTCTATCAATGTCAATAATCAGCCCGCTGAATGGTTCCACTGCTTAATTTTTTAAAACAACCCATATCACATTATAAAACGTCAGTAGATACGCGTTTATTTCGTGAGGTAAAATTATGGGGATTCATGGTTGGCAACGCGGGGCGCTCAGCTCTCTTTTTAAGTTGAAGCCACAAGCTGCCAGACCTTTCTTCCTTTCTCTTTGAGAGGAGAAAAGAATTCAATTTGAGTCCCCCTCACTTTTGATATTACTTTTGAGCATTAGTCTAGTTAGTTCATGTTTTTTCAACGACTATCTTTGTTTCTTCCCGGGCCACTCAGCTCTGTTTTGCCCTAGATGATCTCTTTAATACAATTTGCACCTGTGGGAACACCTGGTTTTTTTATTTCGTAAAGAAGTAGTTGAGGGGGTTTTCTTTTTCTTTCTTCAGCGTAAAATCTGATTTCGTCAACCAGCAAGTTTCACCAACTGTGCTAATTTGATGTTGAGGTGGAACATTCAACTAACGATTATTTTCAGGAATGAATCCATTAGGTATCACACTTTTAGTGGGCATTGCCCAGCAGAAATTGACTACGCCACATTTTGAGGGTAAAAATCAATTAAGTGTAGTTCTACAGAGCTTATGTAGGTGTAGATATTCGCCTGTCAAAACTCAAAATCGAGGAAAAACCATTTTCAAAAAGAAGATAGGATCGTGCTATATCCTAAATGGACCGCGTTAAACAGAAAGGAACCAAGCCACATCAGCTATTGCCAGATTTAATATTTTACATAAAAGCGGTTGTGCGGATTTATGTGCAAATTTCTATGAATTTTCTCCATAATACAAAGCAAATTCCTTAACATTTTCAAAGAAATCTGCACAAACGTACTCTCGTAAAAAATCAAATTCCCCTGTTAAATTTGGCAATAGCTGATGTGGCTTGGTTCCTTTCTGTTTAACGCGGTCCAAATGATGTTAAGTCTAATCGAGGAATACAATTTAAAATGACCTCTTCTCGGCTCTAACTTAACTTATTTCTCAATCAAGAACTACCATTTCCGGCTTATCCTTTGAAACACCTATCAGCTTATGGAAATTAATGGCACATAAGCTGCTTCTAAAAAAAGTAAAAAATAATAGCTCCTCTCTGCAAAATTTACTTCAGTTTGATGTGGCTTGGTTTTTTCTGCTGAACTGGGTTGATTTAAAATATTAGAGCATCTAAGCGTGTATTGATGAGTTACGAAAAAAAATCATATCTTTAAACACTGAGATATTAACTACGCGACTATCTCTTTAGATGTATAATCATAAATATTGCTATATTGCTATATTGCTATATTGCTCTTTGTAACTATTTTGCATTAATTGCATACATTTACTATTTTTTCAGGCTTTTCGCTCCACTGGATCTGCTAGCTGTTCTTTCTCGTCCTTGAAGGTAAAAACAACATTAAATATAGCATGAAATAATGATTAAGAACGTCAAAATCGTGCTCCAAAGACTAAAAAACCTGAATATACGTGATTAGATAGCGATAAAGTGGGTTTGTTGCAACCTTGATAGAGAGAGTATGGAAATCTCGCCCCTCCACTTTTTATGCAGGCAGGGCTTAGGATCCAAAAATGGCGACGCTTTGTTTTGGTTTTTGAGGATGAGACAGAAATCATCGCCAACGTTCGACGGTTATCACCAACCGCATTTGCTGCCAACCGCACTACATCCAAAATTATTTTTCTCGAAACTAGCACCAGATTAGCCGTAAAACTCTGTAAATGCGTCGTAATAATACGTTTGAGTAAAGTTCTCCTTGCGATATGCAAATAAAGTACATTTTAAGTCATTTTCTATTTACGTTTGCATGCAGAGTCCGCTATTTTGGATTCTAAGAGCTTCATGAAGCTAGTGATGGAGGAGCCAATCATATTACTGGATCGCACTTAGCAAACAGGAACCAGTGCGATTGCGTTGTCGTGACAATGTTGTTTCTTCATAATAATCTAACAAATCTCCCAGAATAGTAAATAATTTTGGTTTCCCACCAAAAAATTGTTAACTTTAATGAAAAATAATCGTGCAGATTTTAATACTGTACGTATTGAGTATTTTTAAAAGGTAAGGAGAAGTTGCAAGATTTTGAAAACCCTGTAATCGCGCTGGTTCGTTTTTGCTAAGTGCAATCTAACTCATAGTCGCACAGTCATACTCTCTCTATCAAGGTACCCCACTAAGGAAAAGAGGTAAGAAACGACTTTAAGCTAATTTTATTTCAAGTTTCGAACCTCTATGGGAAGTTCTGTCCCGGTTTGTTTCATCAATCACCAACACCAGGGCACACCGTTGTTACCAGATTCGACCAATCAGATTCGTTGGTTTTCGATAGGTCGAACCTTTTTTAGAACCACCTCGCGAGCTGGTACCAAAATCACGCACCAACCTTGCGATTTGTTAGTCACCGAAACGGAAGTTCCGATCTTGAATAAAATGGCAGCTCGGAGGTTCGGGCACGAAAGTATACCGAACCTCTAAATAAAATTCGTTTTATGAATTGGACCACCGATCATTTGGGCAGGAACCCCGAGCAAGACACAGGAATTTGTCAAAGGTTAGGACATTTTCGCGGTGGGTTTTTTTCCGGCCACAGTGCGGCGAGGGTTCAATGTATGTCGATGCGCAGCGGGGGCTCTCCGGGGGCCAGGGAGGGGGCCGCGGGGCGGGCGGGGGGAGGGGGGGAGGTTGGCGGATGCGCGGCGCAGGACGCGAAGGCAGGCGAGCCGCTCTCAGCATCCGCTCGGAGGAGCAAGCAGTTTCCCTTGGAGAGAGGCCGCGGCAGGCTGGTTCAGGTCGGCGAGGCGATGCGATGGCCAAATCAGGCGGCTAGGCGTTCCAGCCCCCTATGAGCGCGTCGGGTTCCGTTTGAGGTGTTTTCCGGTAACATGATTCGGGCCGACTCCTATTTTGTGTTAGTAGTATTGATGACTCAATTCGGAGGTACGTAGCTCACCTTTCTATCGATGTCGTACCTCTGTCGTGGCTCCCGAGTCGAAAACAACACAACCGCCCCTTCTCCCTGTTCCGGGCACCCTTCCAACTCCAGCGCCGGATCCGGGCACGGGATCCGGGCACGTCGCCTCTCTGTCTGTGTGCACGCAATTGTTGTCGCGAACAACTGCCTGTTGGATTTGTGTGGAAAGCACGACTTTTAAACGGGGAACGTGCCCTCGGAGATGCCTTATTCAGAGTCCATTTTCGTGTGTGGATTTGGCTGAGCTTTGTGTTTACGAATTACACGCAAAGTTCAGTCTCCAGAATTGTTCTAAGCAACGGCTTGACTTATTTCTTGCTAAAATGATCCTGCTTTAATTAATAGAAAACATAGAGAGTGGCCTCATCGAGAATCCTTTTTCGTGTGTGGATTTGAAAAGGCTTTGTGTTTATTAAACTACACGCCGAGTTCATATTTAAGGGATCTGTCGCTAATAATCGTCTGCAGTGGTTTTCAGCAACGGCCTGTAAGATTTTTATATTAAAAAAAATCTGGCCTTTTAAAGAGGAAAAATACCCTGAGAGTTGCCTCATTGAGAGTCTTTTTTCGTGAGTGGATTTGAACGAGCTTTGTGTTTACAAATTACCCGCAAAGTTCAGTCTGCAGTTGTTTTAAGCAACGGCCTGTCATATTTCTTCCAAAAACGATCCTGTTTCAATTAATAGAAAACATAGAGAGTGTGTATTGAGAGTCTGTTTTCGTGTGTGGGTTTGGATGAGCTGTGTGTTTACAAATTACACGCAAAGTTCAGTCTCCAGTTGTTTTAAGCAACTGCCTGTCACATTTCTTGCAAAAACGCTCCTGTTTTAATTAATAGAAAATATACCCCGAGAGTGGCCTTATTGAGAGTCTATTTCTGTATGTGGATTTGGATGAACTGTGTGTCTACAAATTACACACACACACACACACAGCACAGGTTTAACAGGTTTGTTGCTGATAATCGTCTGCAGTGGTTTGAAGCAACAGCATGTCAGATTTTTGTGAAAAATTTCGCCCTTGAAATGAGGAATGCACTCTGAGCGATGCTTTATTGAGGGTCCATTTTTGTGTGTGGATTTGAAAAGGCTTCGTGTTTATAAAGTTACACACCTAGTTCAGATTTAAGGGATCTGTTGCTTAAGTGATCTGTCTGCAGTGGTTTTTAGCAACAGTCTGTAATAATTTTATAAAAAAAGCTGGCCTTTTAGACAGGAAAAATATCCTGAGAGTTACCTTATTGAGAGTCTATTTTTGGGAGTGGATTTGCATGAAATTTGTGTCTACAAATTACACACACATTTAAAGTATGACAGATTTCTTGCTAATAACCGTCTGTAGTTGTTGTAAGCAACGGTCTGTTAGATTTGCTTAATAACTTGAAAAAATTCTGGCCCTCTTAATGGAAATTCTCAGACTTTAAAACTGCCTAATTTGAGAGTGCTATTTACTTGTGAATTTGAATAAATTGTGTGTTTACACATTATTCACACAGTTCAGATTTAACAGGTCCTTGTCGCAAATAATACCTTAAGGTTGTTATAAATAACAGCCTGCTAAATTTTTATAAATAAAACCTGCTCCGTAAAGATCAATTTTCAGGCATCACCGCGACCATGGGAACTGCCTGATAATAATTCAAATTTTTATGTGAATTTGAATGAATTTTGCGTGTAAAGAAATTTCCCGTATAGTTCATGTTTTAAGCAAGTCGTAATCACAAAAACAGCTTGTGATTGGTACAGAAAACTGCTTGATGGATTTATGAAAGATAGCTCACATTTCAAATGGGCATTCTCGTCATCGCGAGAGATACTCAATTTAAGGTTATTTTTTACGTTTACGCTTTCCTGTTACGAAATATATTCACAGTTCGGTTTCGGACTAACTTTTTGGATGTTCCTTGTTGAAAAAAAACCTGTTGGATTTTTTTTTTTTTTTTTTTTTTTTTTTTGGACGATTTAACTTCATTACTCACTTGCTATAAGAAAGTTATCCCCCTTGTTGAGTTTCAATTTGACTACATTTTGCAATGAGGAACCACTAATTCTGACTCCTCCACAAAAGCACCTATCTGCACAGGGAGACTACTGGCACATACGTTGTTTCTCAAGTGAGGCAGAAATTCCTATTGCAAAACGCAGTTCTATTTTTCTACGTAATGTATTTTATAATAAGGAATTACCATTTTCGGCTCATCAATTAAAGCATTTTTCTAGGTAAGGAGGTCGATGACACGCAAAATGTTTCTAAAATAAGCCCAGAATTTGGAGGTCCTTATTGCAAACTGCAGTCAAACTTAATGTTTACAAATCGATGGTGAAACTGTCAGACCACGATCTAGGTTTGCGATGTTGTATACTTCCTGTCAGGCTCCAGTTTGTAAATACAAAACCACTCAACGTTACTTCTTGAAAACTCCCGTGTTTTTAATTCTCTGTGCGATGAAAACTTTGTGAAAATTTTAAGAAACCATATTGATTTGTTCACCTTTAAAAAAATAAAATGGGAGCGGAGATTTTAAAACACCGCAAATGAGAGCTACGTGGTCCGGTAGTTTCACCGTCGACAAACAGCTATCTGTTGAATTCCCGGAAAAACTAACTTTGAAATGAAAATAATCATGAAAGTTCCCTAGCTGAGAGTCAATTTAAGTGGTTGGATTTTTTATTTGCGAATTATCCTTCCAATTTATGTGTAACAAGTAGATATTGAAGTTGATATCGGTAACAAGAGCTTTTTAAATTTAAAATTGGGAAGCCTCCGCCTAGCTCGCTCTCCGTGGGAAAGCTCCCCCACCTCGTGCAATTCAATTTTCGCACGTCTACAAAATTGCTTCTCGCTTAGCTGTCTGCGAGGCGGTCGTTATTAACAACTGCCTGTTGGATCCGTGTCGTGAAAAATGCTTTTTAGATGGATACACTCAGGCATTACTTCGAGAGCTACCGAATCGATTCAACGGACTACTACATCTGCCGTGCTAAGCAAGAACGCCGTAAATCTATCAAGATTTCCCCGTTTTTTTGGAACTCAACACTTTATAAAATCTAAACTGTTTTACCTATGCACCTCAAATTTTCTTGTTAAATTCTTAACAGTAATTGAGAAAGAATTCTTTTAAAACATTGTCCCAAAGTACACAAGTTTTTTTGATATGATACATTGTCTGCAAAAAATTTAAAATGGCTTTTACGACGATTTTGCGTTGGACTGCAATACTGCCGTTCTAAGGAAGAACGCCGTATGAGCCTTCAGACGTTGCCAAGTTTCCCCCGATAAAAACCATATTAACTGAGAAAATTGCGAATATTTTCTAAAATTTTCAGACAATTTTGCACGCCATGTAATCTAATATATCTGAAAATTTCGGGGAAAAATGCATTAATGATGTCAAAAATATAGGTTTTATCAAGGAAAATTTGGCAACTCTCGAATGTTCTTACGGCGTTTTTCCTTAGCACGGTAGACTTGACAAGGTGCGAATTTAAGCGCAGGGTGTTTACTAGTCCAGCAAGTCCGGAAACAGTACTGATTCTCACCGAAATGTCTCGGAGTAACCTAAGTTTCCGGTTAAATTAACCAAACAATTTGGTTGTTCGCCATTTGGACCGCTTTCAGCAGAAAGGAACCAAGCCGCATTTGCGATTGGCTAATTTGACAGGGCAATTTAATTTCTTACATGAAAACGGTTGTGCGGATTTTCGTGCAAATTTCAGAGAATTTTCTGCATTGTACGAAGCAAATACCTTAAAATTGTTAAAGAAATCCGCACAATCGTTCTCTTGTGTAAAATTAAATTCCATAGTTACGTTTGGCAATAGCTGATGTGACTTGGTTCCTTTTTGCTTAACGCGGTCCATTTCTCAGTCAAAGGAACTTAACTTCATTCAAAAATTGCATTTTTGACTCAAATAACGCATTTTTTCCACACAAAAAAATGACTGGGCGATTTCTTGCAAAATCCATGATTTTCTTGTGTTATTAGGGAAATTTCAGTTAGAAGGGCACAGAATTTTCCAAGTTACAAATACATTTTTCCAGTGATAACTTTTCAGCATTGAAATATAGTTAGTGTTACGTTCCTTCTTCTGAGAAACTATGAATGTTACAATTGAGGCGTTGGGCTCAAAAAGTGCATTTCTTGGTTGCGGTGTTTCAGAATCCTCACTACTAATTTATATTTTAGAGAGGAAACCATTGAGTGAATTTTCTGAAATTTTTCGTTTTCGGCATTTTTAAATCATAAAGAAAATTCAGTGAAAGCTTCTACATATTCCCCACGTATCGACGGTATCAGTCGGCGATCACTTAACTCGGTTTGCGACGTCGCAAATTCCTATCATACTTTACTTTTTTAAAACGGAAAACTACCGAACGGCAGTTCTTTAAAACTGCCATGATTTTTCTTCTGTGTGCGAAGACAGTTCTGCAAAAACTTCAAGGAATTATGTCAATTTGTTCTCCTTTAAAAAAAATAACATAGAGGCGGAGATTTTCAGACACCGCAAACGAGATATGTGATTGCCGACTCACGCCGTCGATTTGCGTTCAGTGGCGTGGCGTGAATTGCGATGTATCGATTGTTATGCCATTTAAACTCATGTTAAAGAATCGATTATTAAGGCGTTCGCTGCGAACACCCTGTTTATCGATCCTTTTCCATAGGTTTAAATGGCCGATCAATCGATAAATCGCAATACACGCCACGCCACTGTTTGCGTTATTCATAGTGGATGAAACGTTAGGAAAGATTCCGAGACACCGCAACACAGAAACGCCCTTCAATTTTGCATCCGAAGCACCCAGAAATGCACCCAGTGCTTCAATTTTGGTTGACCTCATCGAAAGAAAACGAGGCAAAAGTAACCGAATACACGTAAATATTCATCTGTGTGGCTTTCTCAGGGGCCTTTGCAAGGGCCTTAGCCAACGGCCTTTGCAAGGGGGTTGCTCTGGCATCGCCTTA